ACTGGTCTGTAGAGTTTCTCCTTTATTGATTTACCAACCCTCCCTAACCCATGACAAGGTCCCGAAATATTCGCAATTCCAGGCCTGGTGTCAGAATTTGTTTTTCACAAACAGAAGTTGGGGACACTGTTGGAAATCTGTTGGTTATTGCGGCTATGCAGAAAGGAAGCACTGATGTTAATATCTTTGATGAGTGGCAGGTTTCTTTCTATACAGAAACGCCTATGCCTAACAGGAGAAGCTCTGTCACAGCATTTTCCTTGCTTCATACTGAAATGGGCCATTGCCTCACTGAGAAAACGTGGCAGCTGCGCAGCAAGAGCACCTGAGTGCTTCAGGCTTTCACAGCTGTCTGGTGCTCTCTTGCTGTTCCTTGCTTTTTCCATGATCGTATCAGTCTTTTTGTGCTCCTCAGTGCATGGAGAACAAGTGCATCTGCTGATCCAAGCAAAAAAAAAAATCAAAATGTTCTGCAGTTTCTCCATAGCAGTATTGCAAATGGAGATGACCCACAGCTGGGTCTTGTGGGTGAGACATAGGCTGGAGAAAAAGTTAGTGCCATAGGGAAATAATGCTAATTCTAGGAAAGCGACAGAGTTAATTGGGGCATGATGGTACCAGCTAAGCTAAAGGGAGCTAGGGGAAGCTACTGGTGAGCACAAGTGGCAAGGATGCCCGGTTTCTGGAGGCTCTCCATGGACCTTCCCCAGTGAGTTCATCTTCTCCCCACCATTGTTGCAAACTGCTGTAGACCTGCCTCTTTCTCCTCCTTGTAGCTACTTCCTTCCTAGACGTGCAGAGAGCCAAGGAGCAAGGAGGTGGCCACAGTTTAGCTTTTTCTCCTTGGCACCACCATCACCTTGGCTGGAGCAAAAGACAAGGGGAACAAGCCGGTTGCAGCGGGGAAAGAGACAGGCAACTCCAGGAGACTCTTTTGTGTGCCTCCCCAGTGATGACCCTCAGCAGGTGCCCACTCATGTCTCCTTTTGACACCAGCTCGTTTGCTTTGTAACTGGGGGAGGGGACGACAACTTTCCACTGTATTTGTAAGGGGACCATTTCCACTTTCCTGATACTGCCATGTGGAATTTGGACACTGTTTCATTCTGGATTGCTTCATCATAGGGTTTACAAGGTAAGAAATATTCAGCAGTCATTTCCCACTGCCTTCTGTGCAGTAGGAACCAGAGTTAGCATGAGCATTACTGCCATCATCTGTGAAAGATCCTCTTCCGGTGTCTCTTTCAACTGCTGCTGCTGCACAGTAGCTGCCCTTCAAGAGTTTCTCTGCCTCCATCCCCATTAGAAATCTCTACACTGTTCTGCTGCTGTAACACTACTCCTTAGCAGAGCCCTAGATCAAATCAACGCAGAACATATCCTGGAAGCAAAACTGAAGAAATTGAGGCTGTGTACCCCAGGCATGCAGAAGAAGAGGAAGACTAACATTAAGATGGATTGGCTCCAGAAAGGAAGCCAAGCCTTGAGTTTGCATGAGCTGCGCAGCGCTGTCAAGCAAAGGGCTTTTAGTTGTGAAGGTGCCATAACTTGGAGGTGACTCAGTGGCATGTAACAGTAACCAGGCATCTGGTTTGGCCCAACGCTTCCATTGTGGAGGTGGCAGATCACAGCTTTCTGCAAACACAGCTTGGCTAGGAGTTCCAACAGCATCCCTAGGTGCTGGCTCAGCCCTAAGGATGAAGGCCAGTGCAACGGTTTTGAAAGAGTGGTACTTCATGGATTCACTACAAATGTGCCTTTCCTTTGATGGGGTCAGGCTTTGGAGGTGAGTGGAGGGCAAGTTCGGCACATTCAAAACAGAAGCAAGTAGGTGCAGAGCCAGCAGACTAAAAGGCATCCTCCTGCCCCCAAAATAATGGAAAGCTTCCCACACTCATAATTCCTGGTTCAGGAATATTATTCATGTGGCACTTTTTAATCATTGAAATGGTGTGCTGAGTCCATATTGTTTCAGGAAAGGGGGTGTAAGGTTGGTACAATACTGAGAATGCAAAGAATTTGACAAGTTTCTAGACTTCGGGGGAGATTAACAATTGGATTTTTCTCCAATGCAGAATCGTCTAAGAAAAGTGAGTAGCTTGTGGGTGTGTTTGGTTTGGTTTCCTCTCTTTTTTTTCTACGCCTCTGATCTTACTTTCTTCACCCATCTTTTTGAATTTTAAAAGGATGGGCTGAGTAAATGGGTGTATGATTTTGGCTAGAGAGGGTTATTTCTGCATGCCAGAGGGCATTCCAGTTTATGCTTCATTGCTGATCTACTGATTGATATGACAATAAAATTGACTAACAACAGATTAAAATTAGAAGGTAAACAAGCTTTTCTCAACTGAAAAGGGTGTAAAGTGGGGGGCAAACTATTGGGAAGGCAGAACAAGTCTCATATGATGAAAGGTTACAGCGTTTGGAGCATTTTACTTGAGAACGGGTGTACAAATGCTCTTTCCACCTGAAGGCCAAATTCCATTTTGGGTAAGTTTTCAGGGACCACATTCCACATTTCAGGCACGACCAAGGGCCAGTAGGGACAGGCCAAAGATGAATGCAGCAGGGCCTGCATGAGAATAGTGGTCTATTGTAGCGTAAAGCTCTTACTGCAAGTATATCTTATATACAAAGGAGGTGCATATATCTTAGGAGAGACATTTCGCCTTTTTAGAAAGGCCCACCACAGGGACACCCCCCCCCATGCTGTACACAAGGCAGGAAGCTACAAGTATCAAGGGTGGTCATGAGAAAGTGGATCAGAGCAGGGGGAAAACCTGAAGACTGGAGCATGACGAGGGGTATGTAAGGAATCTGTTTTGGGAGTGGGACTCTATAGGATTCCCTGGGTTCACCTTGCCATACTCAAGTCCACTGTGTCCTGGCCCTGAGCCCAAGTTCCTAGGGAGCACGCCCAGCATCCGCAGGGCGCTTGCCAGAAATTGATGCCCTGCACTGTGCAAGCAGCATCCCTCTTCCGCACCACATGTAGCAGTTTCTGAGCTGGAGCACCTGAAGCAGAAGAGGTTGCTGGTTGTGCCGGGGCCATTCTGCAAGCATTGGCAGACGTCTTGGCTTGGCTCACTTTCTAAGACTGAGCCGAGCATGGTAAAGGTAAAGGTTTCCCCTTGACGTGAAGTCCAGTCATGCCTGTCTCTAGGGGGCGGTGCTCATCCCCGTTTCCTAGCCGAGGGAGCCAGCGTTTGTCCCCAGACAGTCTCCGTGGTCGTGTGGCCGGCATGACTAGACACCAAAGTGCACGGAACGCTGTTACCTGCCCACCAAAGTGGTACCTTTTCATCTACTTGCATTTGCATGCTTTTGAACTGCAAGGTTGGCAGGAGCTGGGACGGAGCAACAGGAACTCACCCTGTTGTGCAGATTCGAACCAGCAACCTTTCGATCAACCAGCCCAGCAGCACAGCGGTTTAAACCACTGTGCCACCTGCAGTGCCCGAGCATGAGAAGTACACAAATGCTAGAGGGACAGATTCCTTGGCTGGCAGCTATGAGAGCAGAATACTGGATCAACTATGCCAGCAAAAAAGAACATGAAACTCCCTGGATTTTGTTGGACAGCGATCGCCATTAGCCATAGCCAGCCAATCCAATAGTTAGGGGCACTTGGAGTTGCAGCCCAGCAACATTAGGGGCACCAGGCAGTGCCAGTCCCCTTGGGTTGCATGCAGCACTTTATAGATGTTCCCGGGTCCAATCAGCACCACCTCCCAGGGGGAGGGAGGTTACTGCTGCTTCTCCATGCAACTCTCATTGCTCAGCTACATAGAACAAGCAGGTGAGCGGGCGGCTGCCAGGGGAGAGGTGGGGACACAAGTGAATGGCAGTGGGGTGTGGCCCTCAGCAGGTCCTGATCTTAACCCCGTGCAGGAGCCAGGTAGTGGGCCCAGGAAGCAGGTGGTGGGAACCAGCAAACAGAGCAGGCCATGGAAGCAGACTCAGGGCACAGATGTAGGACACCATCAGAAGATGGCAAATGGTTTGTGAATATTTTTGCAGGCAAAACCAAAACTGTGTGCTGCAACCTTGACTCATCAGATTATCCAGCAAAAGCATTCCTTGAGCAATCACAAGGGTAGACATTTTATATGAGGAGCTGTGAGGTAAAGCCATTCTTGTTTATTGCAGGCAACGGTTCCTCTGCTTTGGTGTATTACCGTAACGTGTGATAAACAGGATGGCCTTTCTTTTTGTTTTTTGGGCTGGGACCCTAACCCTATCCTTTTGGGATAACTTTTGTTTATGAAGCTGCATGCTGTACCTATTGTACTTCCTTTCATTTCTTGACAAAGGCACCTATATTGAGATGGTGATATTTTATATATATTGTTAATCAAGGAATTGGTCAACAGCAGATGATTAATTGCTTTAAAATCTATGGCAGATGGACAACCCCCTAAAATGACCTTGTATATGTGCCTTTACACAATCTGTCCCTTAAAACATTTGGTGCGATAATGTGGTTTTGTAGAGTGTTAGAATGATGGGTAGAAAGGACAATGTAATGTAAAGAAACCGTGTAATAATGTGCTTCATTACAGCAATGGCATGTGGATTTTTTGTATCAGCAGCTTTGAGAAGGGCCAGATATGAACTGCAGGTGGTGCAGAAGTATCAAATTTAGATTGCCTGCCACAGTTGCCAAAATGGCATGGGCCAGCCCTGAAAGCTCCCATGGGCAGAAATAAACTAGTCTTCCCCAAATCCCTCAATTCCCAGCCATCATGAGAACCATAACTGGGAGTTGCAGCCCTACATGTGGAGAGACCAGGTTGGAGAAAGCTGTAATAAAGCATATGGTCAAATGGAGCCGCCTTATATGGAGTCACTTCATGGGTTCATCTAACCCAATTCTCTGTCATCATAAAGGGCTTTTCTGGCCTTAGCATTTGGACAGTATCCACCTCAGATGGGATGGGGGTGTGCACAAGTCAAGTTTTCACTGACCTCTCTCTCTCTCTCTCATGTTTATATTCTAGGAGAGGATGATGATGATGATGAATGTGGGGAAGAAAAGCTGCCTTCTTGCTTTGATTATGTGATGCACTTTCTGACCGTCTTCTGGAAAGTCCTGTTTGCCTTTGTCCCCCCAACGGACTACTGGAATGGTTGGGCTTGTTTTGTTGTATCCATCCTAATGATCGGCCTTCTGACGGCATTCATTGGGGACTTGGCTTCCCATTTTGGCTGTACCATTGGCCTGAAGGATTCAGTAACCGCAGTTGTATTTGTTGCATTGGGAACTTCAGTGCCAGGTAAAAAAACACAACAACTAAAGATGAATATAGTCACAATAATGTCATTCTCTGCCAATGTTTTTCATGTCATCACACTATGCTGTACGTGAGGGATCCCAGGAGACCTGGCAGCAATCCAGGATTCTCCATCTGGACTGTGTGTTTATTCAATTTGTAACACAGATTGTTTGTGGACAATTTAGTTAACAAACTTCAATCCATTTATCCCAAAACAATTTCATTAGAATCCTGTGTATCATTCAAGGGGAAAAAGATGATTGCAGCCTTAGGGTGTACATCTTAATCAATTTACTCCCAAGTAGCCTTAGTTAAAACAGAAAGATTATTTCAGAAGCTAGAGAACTGCTTCTTGACCTTCTTTGCACTTGACTCTGAGGACTACATTTCATTTGCACTCCTTTTTACAATGACTGTTTATTTCATCGAGGCCACAATTACCAGAAAGTGGTGTGTTCTCATGGTAGAGCAACCCTCAGGCTGCCCAACTTAACAGCCCTGCAAGATCCTCCCCTTACAAAAGAATGAGTATGGGCCCAAATTACTACAAGCAATGCTAAAGATGTCACTTTAGCACTGACATGTTGTGTGATTTGTGTTTTTAATGCATGTTTAAGCCACCAGGGGCCCCATCCAGTAGCTGGCCAGTGAATGGCAGAGAAAAGGAATTCCATTCCCAAACCATTCCCCCCACCCCTGTTTTTTCATGGTCCCAAGAATTTCCCACCCTGGAAGCTGCTCTTTGCAGCAAGAGGTTTTGGTTAAGAGCTCTGCCTCTGATGGAGAAAACAGCTGGTGGTGGGGGGCGCTCAGAACTGCTGCAAACAGAAGGAGTGAGCTCCATAGCTTGTGTGGACCAGGTCGTGATCAGGGAGCCCTGCTTGCTTTCTTTGAAAGGTCTGTTGAGTGACAGGTGATGTGTTTAGTACCATGTGCAATGTAGCCCATATACAGACAAAGAGACAGGGAAAGTCTCTTGGTAAATCAGAAGAAGGAAGCATGGACCATTTTAATTAACTGCAGAAGAGAAATGAATGGATTTCACAGCCTTTTCAACAGCTTATGCAAGCATGTCGAAAGGGAATTATCCTTATTATGACTGATTTAAATGTCCGCAAAGAAGTAAGTCTGCTGAGTTCATCAGAATTCTTAGGCTAGATGCTAAACAAAAAATGGTGGAAAGAAAGGAACATTCACAACTGGAACCTTGGCATCTGCCTTATACTGAGTTGGCCACTGGTTTACGTACCTCAGGATTGCCTGCACCATCTGGCCACAGCTGTCCAGGGTTTCAGACACGTGCAGCCGGATGGGATTGAACTTGCAAAGCATGAGATTTCTAGCTAAAATTAAGTTCTTCCCTTTTGCAAGAACAGCTTGAACAAACACTACTATTGGCCAAGGTGAATTTTGATTATACAGATCGCACAGACCCTTACAGCAAGTATTGTATGAATATATAGTAAAGAGGTGCGAATCCAGATACATATAATAGGTGTCTTTTCCATATGTTGGAACAGATATGCTGCAATGATATGTGTATCTACACTCATATACAATGATATGCATGTGAAAGCACATACTAGGAAAGCACTGTCAGGGTTCCAACGGAGCGAAGCTCAGGGAGCCCAGGTTCAATTTAGATGCCAGGAAGTAGGTCCTGACAGTTAGGACCCCGAGGGTGTGGAATGGGCTTCCACGGGAGGTGATTGAAGCCCCATCAGGATGTTCAAGGCTAGTCATGCACATGGCGGGCATGTCATGAGCGGAGCCGGCTGGAGCCGGGGGTCAGACTATATGGCCCAGGAGGCCCCTTCTGACTCACTCTGTTTCTGTGTTTCTTAATCACACAGTAACCCACATTGAAGGGTTGAGTATGAGTTGAATGTGGGTAGTCACTGAACAGGGAGTTGTTGATGGAATGTGAATTATAGTGTCTGAACTCAGTTGCACCAACAAACCATGGCTTGTTAATCATGAATAAGCCATGAAAAGAACCCATGGTTTGTTGCTAGGTTATGAAATGTGATTTGTTCATCATGGCCTATAATTCTGGCTATGTTTCAATAGCACCCTCAGTGTGGATTATCATGTTACCAGAACCCAGTCAGTGTTTCAGCAGTGCCACCCAGCTCTGAGTCTGTCAGGCCAGTGAACAACATTGGTTCTCAAAAGACTCAGTGCCTTTTTAATGAGTATTGCAAAGAAATGCTGCTGTTCTCTGCATTAATGTCCACTAGAGTCAGGAAGTCTGTTTAATAAAATTACTTAACCCTAGTTAACCTCACCTTAACACCATTCAATGCAACATCACTCTCTCAGCCAAAGTTGTGAAAAGGTGCATTTTTCTAACCCTTTCAATGCATGCATTTAGACAAAGTGGGAATTTCTAGTCTATTTTAGAGATTACGAGTTGGGAGCCAGAGCTCAATTGCCGTAAGATCTAAGGCCGCAATCTTGAGTTTATGGTGTCAGATTGAATCAGCAGATTTATTCTTGGTTATACTGAATGGGATTGCCCATCAAGCTCTCTATGCATCACATTATATTTCAGCATGAATGCCCTTTTATTTTGTTTGTTAAGGTGCACTCATTCTGGAACTTGTCCTGTTCAGGGTCCTTTGTTATTGATGGGAGCAGTGGAATACTGCTGCTCACAATTAGCTTTTCTCCAACAGGCAAGTGTTGAAATTTGCAGTATTCTAGGGAATGGTGTGCCAAGGATGTTAATGATGTGTAAGAAAATGCACAGCTCCTTCAGATCCTGGATTTCTACATGAAGAACAGGGGCCAGGAAGTTGTGGTACTACTGATGTCCCTCCCATCATTAGTTAAGAATAATGGGAGTTTTAGTCCAAAACAAGAGGCATCAAAATGGGAACAACTGAGCTAGAGATTTTTCCACATGCTGAAAAGGCAAACTACTTCCCAAATTAAAGGTCAAACAGTAGTGGCGCAATGTGGACCTGTATTTAGGCTGAAAAAGGCTCCCTCTACCCTACCCAGAGTATGCCCAAGCAAACAGGTAAGATTTGTCCTGTATAAATATGGACTGGCTTGTACCCTAAGCTGCAATGCAGACTTGACTCTCAGTGTAGCATGACACAGAGAGCTACTGTGGAGTGATGGTTCAGGAGCTGGCCTGGGATGCAGGAGATCCGAGTTCTAGTCCCCTCTTGGCCATGAAGGTCACTGGGTGTCCCTGGGCCAGGCACTGACTCTCCACCTGAGCTACCTCAGAGGGCTGTTGTGAGGAGAGGAGGCAGCTCACCTAAGCCTCTGTGGATTCCTTACAGGAGGGAAAAGGCTGGGATATAAATCTAATCCACGATAGGAGGGAGCCTTCTACCAAGTGAAACGTTTTTGTTCATCCAGCCCAGTATTGTTTTCTTGAACTGGGACAGGTCTTAGGAAAAATGGTATTTCTCATCACATGAACTAGAAATGCCAAGTATTTTGCTCTGCTCCTGAGCTATGATTGCTCACTATTACAGGCCATCTGGGCAGCTGAGGGGAAAACATCAAAAAGATGACCCATTCTGATCCTATGTACACTTTTCTCACATCTTCAGTTGTATTGCAGCCACAAGGAAGAAATTCAGCACATGAGCATAAATGCAGAAGGATTTCACATCCCTTCCCAAGGGTCAGTGTATGCCAACACAGGTGTGGTGGTTTGCAGAGATCATGCTACCTTGACCTAGTGCAAGAAGGATTTTGAGAAAGAGTTTTCTTTAGGGAGCCCCACTGAAATGAAAGAGGTTTGCCCAGGAAACGTTCCTGGTGGGTTTTACCCCCAGCCTCCACAGCTTGCCTTGGATTAATACCACCTTCCAAATTTGATTTCATCCCATCGTTATTTTGCCTTGACCTGGCACCACCCCAGCAGTTTACAGCTTGCTCCTTTTCATCAGGTTTGCTTTTGAGGTCTCAAAAAGAGTTTTTGCCATTTCTGAAAAACAGCGCAACTATTTTTTCTCTTTCCCTAGCGGGCAAGGTGTTCTCTGAAACTCAGGTTTTAATGGCCTGAGGTCGCATTTTACAAGTTACATTTCTGAGGTCATATTTTTAGAATGACTCTTAACAGAGTGATCATTAGCCAAGACCATGAGGGAGAGATGTAAGATAGGTGATGAACTTGCTACAAATATTGCCTGTTTCTAAGAATGGAAGACAGAGAATGGGAATAAATGGCAGTTTCTCCCAATGGAGGGATGTAATCAGTGGGGTCCCACAGAGCTCTATATTAGGAGCAATTGCTTTTCAACCTATTCATAAATGATATGGATTTAGGAGTAAGCAGTGAAGTGGCCAGCTTTGCTGATGATGCCATGCTATATAGGATGGTCAAAACCATAAATGGATTATGAGGAGCTCCAAAGGGGTCCCTCCAAGCTGGGAGAAAGGCATAGGGGCAAATTGGCAAGTGCAGTTCAATGTAAGCAAGTATAAAGTAATGCAAAAAATCCCAATTTCAAGTATAGGATGATGGGAACTCAGCTAGCAGTGAGTGATCAAGAAAGAGATCTTGATGTGGTAGTGGAGAGCTCAATGCAAATGCCAGCTCAGTAGACAACTGCTATGAAAAAAAAATACTGTATGTTAGACATAATTAGGAAAGGAAGAGAAAATTGAACTGCCAAGGTCATTGTCCCTTTATAAAATGTTTTTGTGTGACCATGCTTATCATATTGTGCCTTACCTTGAAAAAGGACATTCTTAGGAACAACTACAAGCAAGGGGAGCCAAAATGATGAAGGAGTTAGAGTCCTTTATGAGAAGTGGCTGCAATGATGTTTCAGTTAGAAAAAAGGCAAGCAAGGGGAGCCACAATAGAGGCTGGAAGAAAGAGGGTTGGACACACCAGAGAGTTGTGCAGGAAGCAAGTACAGAGAGGGGGGGGGGGGACAAATAGCAAGGAGCTTGGCAGCACATAAGTGAGTCAAGCATCTGCCCCTTGACTTCTCTGCTCAGACTGTGTGCTGCAGGTTTTGAATGGG